TCTCCCCTGTTCCTTTGAGGGCTTGTTGGGGACAGGAAAAGACCAAAGGAAGATCTAGCAAGAAGGGTACTTGGCAAGGGAGCAGATGTTGCTGCATCAGCGGCTGCCCAAAGTTTGCACTGGAGCATGTCGTTCCACCCCCTCCCCCAGGTATTATTACTACAGGTAGTCCTTGACTTACAACAATTCACTGTTCAAAGTTACAGTGAAAAATGTACATCGACTTATGCCCATTTTTCACATTTATGACCATTTCAGCATCCTCATTGTCACGTGATTTACATTTGGAGCCTTGACAACTGACTCACATTTATGATGGTTGCAGTGTCCCAGAGTCATAAATGTCCCCTTTGCAACCTTCTGATAAGCAAAGACAATGGGGAAGCCAAATTCACTGAATTACCCCGTTACTAATTTCAAAACAAGAAAAGTAAAACGGGGCAAAACTCACTTAACACATTTCTCACTTAACAACACAAATTTGTGGTCGTAACTTGAGGACTACCTGTACTATTCATGTTCGGCAGGAAACAATATACAGTGGCCTGCTTGTTGTCCCTTTTAGTTCTCCATTCCGATTTCATTTTCCCTTCCTTTATTTTTTTTTAAAAAGACTCTTCCATCTTGATCCCCCGTAAGGAGGTGTGTGTAAATGTCTGAATCTCACAGAACCTTTTCTCAGTAAAGGTGTTGAATGAACGGTCCCCGGTTGCCGAGTCTGGCCATCTTTTTCCTCTGGGGAGAAGGCTGCTGCCCGTTATTTTGTCGTTGGAGTCGAGGTCAACCCTGACCGTGTTCCTCCAGCAGTAGGTAGCAATTGCTCCTCGTCGGGCCTGAATGGAGCGTGACCTCGGGCCACGAACGCGCCAACCCACCAACGCGCATTCTCTCCGAGCCCAGCTGGCGCGCAGGCGCGTAGCACCGATCTCGGCGGAGACTCGGCTCCTGCCTGAAAGAGCAAGGTTCCCCCGCCGCAGGCCCGGGAGCTTTCCCCCTTCCAGCCCCGCACCTCACCCCACTCCTAGACACGCGGGTTCATCTATGCCTTTCCATGGGCCTTTCAAGGGGCCGGTGGCTGGGGAGATATTCGGTAGACAGCTCTCAGCGCAAGAAGGGATGCCCACCACGACTGGTCTATGGCCAAATTGTTTTCCCCGGTCCCAGGCCGGGAGGGGATCCCAGGACGAAAGCGGAACGCGGCAGGTGCCCTCGGATTCGCCCAAGCTCTAGCACTTTCCCCTTCTCGATTTGCCTCCCCCAAAAAACGGGGGAGAGAAAAGCTAGGAGTCCTGGAAAGAAACAGGTGTTGCGCCGCGCGCATCTCCTCCGGTAGCAACGGGTTACAACAAAGAGAGCGAGGGGGGAGGAGGAGGAGGCCGGGCGAATGGGAGACGGGCAGGTACATGGACCAAGCTGTTCATAACGCTGCAGATGGATCCGCGGCCGTTTTCTCTCTATTACACTTGCAGTGCAAGAGCATTTTATTTCCACATTCACCCCAGACCCGCCGACTCGTTCCGTGGCGGTCAAAATTGTAACCAGATAGGGAGAACCTAGCGGAAAAGAAAGCTTTACCTTATTTATCCAAGCAGAGACGCACGTAGATTGACGCTTGGTGGAGCCAGCAACCTTTCTACGAGAGAGAGAGAGGGTGGGGGGAGGAGGGAGGGAAGGAGAGGGAAAGAGAGAGAGAGAGAGACTGCAGAATGTTTTCTAATTTGTACCGTGTTGAGTCCGAGGAAGAAACGAAGAGGAACCAAGCAGGTACGTGTGAGTGAACCAGGGTTCCTCGAAAGGTACAGCTGAGCAACCTCCAAATGCCCGACGTAGGTGTGGTATAAGATTCTGTTGCCACCTCTTGTTCCCAATACCTGCCTCTTTCCTAGAGCTTTAAGGTGGTTGTAGACTTCCTACTCTGGCAAATTTGGCTAGAGGTGGGCATAGAGACCCGTCGAGAAACGGCTGGATTCTCTTGTTTTAATCTTGTGCCTCATCTGGAACCAGCACCTCACTTGTTTGGGTGAAATTGCTGCCTAACAAAGCTATATTTCTGGTCGTACCCTCGCTTCCCGTCCGATTGTTTTCGTGTTTTAAGTTTCCCACAAGCACGACACGATGCTAGGGTTTTATTGGTGTCCCCTCCCCTCCCCCCACCCGCACTCCGGTTCCTGGTGAGACAAAAAAGGGGCTGCGGTTCACTCCGGAATCGCCGTATAGCAAGAACAATATTCGCTTTGAGAGGATCGTTGTTGCTTAGGTTTCACGAAAAGTGCAAAAAACCCAGACGCCCCTCTTTCAAAACACAACACAGAAAAATGTTTCTGCCTTCGTTTTCTCCTCCCACCTCTCCTAATCCTCCAGCCCCTTCAAAGCGTCAAAAGGTAAATATAGTTTACAGGGGCAAGAAGGCAATAAAGTCACCGAGGGAATGAAAATACAGCAAAATAGAGCAAATGCCTGAACTCTTCAAGAGGCTTTAGGGTTCTCAAGAGACTGGCGGAGGGGCGGATCGAAATGAGATCCGGTAAACGGCTCGGGGAAAAGACTCACCCAAAGTTGGTGGTGAGGGTCAAAAATGGGGAGAACTTGTTGGCCGAGTGCTCGCGCCCTTAACGATGGGATCGGCTGGAGGTTTCTTCCCGACCCCCAGACGCCCCGGATGGGACCTGACCTACCCCACACTTTCCCTACCCCACCGCCACTCTCCTTTCTCCCGCCCCGTCGCGCTCTCCTCAGAAGACTTAGCGAACAACACCCCCCACCCCCTACCCCACAGGTACTTAAAAAGTTAGGAAATCAGAACCGCGCATTATAAGACTCTCGAAGTCGACTTTATTTTCACTGCCCAAACTGTTGGAAAGTACTTCCAACTTAAGCAGAAACAGCTGGATTGCTGGCACTGCTTTTTGTTGCTGCGAAAGTCGACTTTGTAACTCAGAACTGGCGTTTTGGAAGGGAAGGTGTCTCGGTTGCCTTTTTTTTTTTTGGTTTTTGTTTGTTTTAAACTTAGCCTGCAAATAGATTCATCGTTCCTCCCCACCTTCACCCCTCCCCGGAACTGTGTTAAAATTACATACACCGATCAACTGATGATAAGACTTGGTTTCCTATTTTAATGTATTAGATCGCTGAGTTCAGTATATTGTAGAATCTCTAGATATTATTAGAAAACTATTGCCTGAGTTCTACTATACTTCTATGAGTTCTTTGGTTTTCAGTCAAACCCATCAGCACAGAGGCTTTAGGAAATCGTGTGGTGGAGTGCAGAACTAAATCTGAGATCCTCTCTGATGCGAAGCAGAAAAGTAGAGTAGAACAGGGCTCACTTTAAGCCTTTTAAAAGATGCAAATCAAAATGATCCGGGACAACTAGATTGTTGGCAGGGTTAGATCGTGATCGCGATTTTTGCATACAAATACATCTTTTGGACACACCTAGCATTTCTACAAGTAAGGAACACGTCTGGCGTGCCCACGGTTTCCCAAGAGTCTGAAGGGTTCTTAGGGTCAGGCAAAAGTATAGGTATAGCTATCATTTCCTTGATGTCACCAGGATTTACTGGGAAACAAAGATGATTGAGGTTCATGGAAGTTTTTCCTAACTACCGGTAGGCAACCCCTAAGCGCTAAAGTCAGAGACTTGGAGTGGAAGGACCAACATTCTTTTCGGAGGGTAAGTAGTTTTTCTCCCTGGACATAAGTTATGAGCTACTGTATGAGGTAAAGGCAGCACTTTCGCTCCTCTCCCCGCGTCTTCATGCTTCTCACAGAAGATATGCTCAGGTCAACGTTCACCGAGTTTAGCTCAAAACGCTGTCATAAATAAGGGAAAAAAAATAGTTGCATTTCTCCACTCCTCTGCAGAGCGACACACGAAGGGGAAATTGCACACCAGCGGGAAAGCGAAGGGACTGGGTAGATTTAGCGGAAAGCAGCCAAGTGGAGCCTGGGAGGTGCTCTTCTTAAGAGATTTTGCATAGATCCAAGATTGTCCCGGTCTAGTTGGATCCATGAGGCACATTTCGAAGGAGACGATTCTTCCCGGAACCGCTAGAAATGAGACGGGGGAGGGCGCTCTGGGAGGCTGCTTCGTCGACGTTTCAACTCTTGATGTGCGTGGGTGTCCACCCACCCACGTCTCCTTTCAGGAAAGTCGACGGGCTGGAGCGCTGGGGAGCGGGGGGGGGCAGTTTCGGAACCTCTTTTATTCTGGCCCTGCCCCCCCCATCACCCCGAGGGAGAAGAAGGAATGGTATTATGCGGTCGGCGTGTCTCCTCCCTCCGCTTTTTGCAACACGCTCAATCCACTGGGCTCCGGAACCAACGCTCCAGATCGAGTTCCTAATGCGTCAATCCCCAGATCCTGCGAATCCCGGGATTCACTCGGCCTCCTCCTCCTCCTCCTCCTCCTCCTCTCTCCCAGATTAATCGGACTTGGGCACCTCCTCTCCGCGATCTCATATTATTCCGCCTCCTTATTACTTGTCGGGGGGGGGCGTTCTTTCCAGGCTCGGGTGGGGGTGGGGGATGGTCGTTGTTTATTTAGCTGGAGTAAGGAAGTCGATTAAAAAAAAGAAAGAAAAGCTTCGCTTGTCTCCAGGCTTTATACATGCCATTGATTTATTCCCCCCCCCCTCCCGACACACACACACACACGGAGGGGAGGGGACTGAAATTGGGCAAGCGGATTGGAGGAGTATGGTGAGCAAGGCTGGATATGGAGGAGGACGACGAGTGGAGAGGGGGCTCCCGCTCCCCTCCCCCTGCCTCCCCCACCAGACAGCTGAAGAGCCCCTCCGCCTCGCTTTCTCCCCTCAGCCGCTCCGGAGGTCCCCCTCCCAGCTCCCCCTGCCGGGGACGCAGCCTCCCTGCCCCCCCCCCCCGCTCCGGGATCCCTGCTCCTTCGGCTCCGCCCCTTTGTGATTGAAACGCGGATCACGTCGCCAGGAGGAGGAGGAGGAGGCGGGGGCGGGTGGGAAGGGGAGGTTGGGGAAGAGCCGAGCCGAGCCGAGCCGGAGCTTCGGCAAGAGCGGCCTCTCCCGTAGAAGGGCGGGTGGGCAAGGCAGGCAGGCAGGCAGGCAGGCTAAGCCAGCAACAAGTGCGCAGGGAGGCAGGCGAGGCGAGGGAGGGCGAAAGCTGACGTCAGCGAGCGGGGTATTATGGTCTGGTCTGGGCTGGCTCCTGCCGCCGCCGCCGCCGCCGCCGCCGCTTTTCTGCTGCCAGCGGCCGAGTAAACATGGAGCTCTCCGCCGTGGGCGAGAGGGTCTTCGCGGCCGAGGCCTTGCTCAAGAGACGCATCCGGAAAGTAGGTGCTCCGACGCCGCCTGGCAGCGCAGGCTCGGCTTTGTGCGCGCGGCACCGAACCCGCCAGGCCCGCCCGAGGCCGCAGGCAGAGAGCGAGAGCGAGAGAGAGAGGAGCGGGGCTCCGCTCGGCTCCCTCCTTTCTGCAGCAGCGCTTTGCTGCCTGCCGCTCCCCCTTTCGGCTCGCGCTGCGCAGATTGCCACCATCTCGAGCGTCGTGGACCCCCCCCCCCAACAACGTCTTAAATGCATGCACGTTTTTGGCTGCTGCGGCTATCTTTTTTTTTTCCCTTCTTCTTTTTTTGCACGCAGCTCTGCATGCATATTGGAACCCGGCTTGCAGCACGCCCCCTTTTCGTGCATGTTTTTTTTTTTTTTCCGCCCTTCCTTGCAGCTTTTTGCCTTTGCGTTTTCGTGGCATGCTCTGGGCTGCTTGCTTTTTTTTTTTTTAATTGACGCATGCGGTCGGGAACACCTTCGGTTTTCATAGCGAGTATGTTGTAGCGCCGTTTATTTAGTACGCTCTCCTAAAATGCGGGCTCATTTGTTTCTTCTTGACAACTGCAGGGTCGTATGGAATATCTGGTGAAATGGAAAGGCTGGTCTCAGAAGTAAGTAGACCTCAGTGTAGTCTAATTGGTGGCAAACATTGCAGTAGGATTGATAATGTTCTGTTGGGTAGACAGAGGGACACTTTTACCCTTCACAGCTGCATTTTGGAACATGAGGAGGGAAAAAATTATTTTCTTCCTTTTTCTCTTTACTCTCCCTCTCTGTTTGACTTTCTTTTGCTTTTTGCTTTTTGCTAGATACAGCACCTGGGAACCTGAGGAAAACATCCTAGATGCCCGCCTGCTTGCTGCTTTTGAGGAAAGGTATGTCTGTTTGAGGAAACCTACACCTTTATTAGAGTCATAACACTGTGTTTTAGAGCGCTATTAAATCATTCTATGTCCTTATAATGCCTGCATTTGTTTGTTTTTTTCCTTAAAAACCACATTTAGGGAAAGAGAAATGGAACTTTATGGTCCTAAGAAACGTGGCCCCAAACCCAAAACCTTCCTTTTAAAGGTAAGAAAGAGCCGTGTTTTTTGAGTTTCTGCTTGTGATCATAATGGAAAATGCAACTTTTTTCTTAATTAAAAGGCCAAATTCTGAAGAACCAGCTTCTTTTCTGCTCTCTCTCTCTCTCTCTCTGAATGTGTTTGTGGATGTGTGTGTTTGACTGTGGGGAGGGGGTCGCTCTGCTTTTGTGTTGACCACATTGTTGGAGCATAGGACTAAAGAAGTGTAGTTGTTTTCACTCTTTTACAGGCCCAGGCCAAAGCCAAAGCCAAAACATATGAATTCCGTAGTGACTCTGCTAGGGGCCTCCGGGTACCTTATCCTGGACGATCTCCCCAGGAACTTGGCTCTACTTCCCGGGCTAGAGAAGGACTGAGACAGATTCCACTGCCCCCTCAAAGCAGCTCCACCACCTCTACCCCCAGCATGCCTCGAATGGAGCCCATCCAGGAAAACAGGGTGGGGTCAGAGGAAGACCATTCTGAAGGCGCCTTCAAAAAGCGAGGTCCAAAGCCCAGGAAAGACCTGCCTGAAATGGCAGAGGTTGCCTCAAAGCGGAAATCAATGGAGCCTGGCGACAAGATGGTGGTGGACTACCTAAAAGCCAGAAAATTGGAAGAGACAGCTAACTCTGGGACAGCAAAATTCAGTTCAGGACACAGTGTGATCCAGTTAGCCCGGAGACGAGAGCCTGAGTTACCCAGCGTTGTTCCCAACCCAAGGGCAGAGACTGGCATGAAACTGGGTGCACCTGAGACTTACCCTCCTAGACTGACCAAGCACAGGGCGGATTTCCTGGATTCCAAAGGACAAAGTGGTTTGGACTTGGGGGCTTCTAAGATCTTGCACAGCTCTGCAAACCAAGGCAGCTTATATCGAGATGGCATAGGGACGCAGGCTGGCAGGCCTTCCCTCATCGCCCGCATCCCTGTCTCCCGGATCCTGGGTGACCCAGAAGAAGAACCTTGGAGCCCATCTCTCAACAATTTGGAGAAAGTAGTAGTGACTGACGTGACATCCAATTTCTTGACAGTAACCATCAAGGAGAGCAGCACAGACCAAGGATTCTTTAAAGAAAAGCGGTGAATTCCTTCAGAGAAAAGAAGGCATTGAAAGGCTTTGGATAGAGGTCGGCTGAATTGGGGATTTTTTTAAAAAAAAAACACTTTTATTTTAAAACTTTTTTGGACAGGCTTGCTTTTCAAATATCTGTCCTTAATTCTTTTCTTTATCTCTCCCTCCCCATTCCAACCTTGCCACCATGCCACCAATTTCAATTTTGGTTGAAAAAAATATCTCTAGAGTTATATTTTCTATTAGATGTAAATATGTTATTTAAAGAAAAATACATATATATATATCTATATATATATCTATATACATACATATAAATATATATATTTCAATTCTTTAAGTTGTTTGATTGTTGTTGTTTTTTTAATTTAAGGCCTTTAGAGAAGGATATTAAAACAGAAACGATGCATCTCTTGCCTCAACTTGCAAGAGCTGGTGTGTAGATAATGAATGATCCTGTTACTCAATCATAATACCTTGATTTAATTCCCCCCCCCCCCCCCCAGTTGTTTCTCCTTCCTTCCCACAAATATGATGTTGACTGAAAATACGGGGATATTATATTCATCTGGGGATTGAAAAAGTTCCAGGGTTCTTTTTTTAATTGTTATATTATAAGGTGTTGCTTTGTACAATCAAGTGTGCTGTATACACAACTGTTCTGGCTGGACAGCTGAAGTAAGCACTTGACTTTACAGTATTGTCTTGCTTTGTTTTGCTCCAGTTGAAAAAAAAAAGTTGTTGTTCTAAAAAGTGTCCATTAAAAACAGTTGAAAGATGTTTTAGCAAAGTATTAACTTGAATACCTTTTCTTGCAAGGGAGAAGGGGATATGTAAGATTTTTTAAAAGTGTAGCTGCTGTTATGCACTTTAATATGACTGTCATAGAGGGAAAGTGGGAATGGTAGAAGAAGAAATTGAGCTGATAGTTTAATTTAATTTTGATTCTCTCTTTCTCCCTCCCTCTCTTTTCCCTGCTCACTCCAATAAGAAAATCTGTTTACATTCCTTACATGCCAGAAAGTTGGGGAGGAAAGCATCTGACTGGTCATATTCTCAGTGTTCCTGCTGTTATTTTGAAAGTGGATTTTCCAATCTCCCCCCAATGTTTGTAGTTCCTTTGTAGGCTATGAGATTAACGTGTGGCACAAAATCATTGTTTTCCTCATACATTAAGGATACGAGACAACTCCCCATGTAATGGGGCTGGGAAAGACCAGGATTTCAGAGTTAGCTGCTTTTCTAGCTAAATTTCTTTTTCATTTTTTTAGAAAGAAGCATCTGTTCTGATTCTCTCTCCCCTCCCCTCCCACAGTTTCTAAGCCAAGTGATGGAAAAAAAATGCTTGTCAACTTCAAGCAAACATTTCAACCATTTTTCTCTTCCCTTGAAGATGAACTCTGCTTAACTTTTCAAGAAAAGCTTTTGGTTGTGCTTTATTCTGTAAAGCTCCCGATTAAGAGAGAACATGCAGAGGAAATTGGGGAAAGGGTCGCTTCCTCTGCTTTTAGCAGGTGCTGTGGTGTCCCAATATATATTGATTTAAGCATCTTTTGTTGGTTCAAAAAGCACAAATCTGCCTCACAGCCCCTAAGGGCCTAGCAGGGGGATGTGTTGACTTCTCTGTTCTTTTTCTGAATGGCTGATTCCCTGGGTCCTTTTAACACACTTTCTAATTGGGGGAGGGAACAAGGCACGAAACTCTATGTGTGGCCTAGTGAGAAGAGACACGGAGGAGGAAAATCAGGTGTTGCAAGAAGCAGAAATACCCTGGTCATTTCTGGGCTCAAATAGAAATATTGTCCCTTGGCCCACCTATCTCCTGCTTCTTGGAGGTGGGATTTCTCCAGCAACATCAACATGGCCATTTTGTTTAGATTGTGCTGAAGAAGTAAGCAGGCTTCATTTTTTTCCCCCTGTTCACCCTCCCTTTCTTATTTAAAGGAAAACCAACATTTTAAATTCTAGTCAGCTCAAAGCATTTCTGTAGCTCTGCAAATCTGTTGAGTTCAGCCAGGGGTGAGGAAGCATGTCAGCATATGTGTGTGTTGACAGTGGTTCCATATAGTTCAGAGCTGGAGTGGGGAAAAGGGGAGAATGCCAGAATATTTCCTGGGTAGAAACAATCTTTAATGCTCTCCTTAATTCCTCAGGTGTCAGAGGTGGTATATGCCCCCTGTGATGTGGGTTTCTAGAGGCACACACATGGGTATATAAAAGCTAGACCGACATGTGAGTGTATCTGTCTATGTACATAGTTACATATATTGAATGTATGTGGGTGTGAGTTATTCTCTTTTAAGATTTGTAAAAGGAAAAAAAAAACATTATTGAACTGGCCTCACAGTCTCAGAAGTGAAGCTTAAGTAGGTGTCTTCTGCAAATGTGGAATGTCTAATACAGTACCTGCTTTTTGTGAATTGAAATATATATAATTCTTTGTAAATAGAGACTTGGCTTTGTTTCATTTGTTGCTGTCTGCGGTAAAAGACTCTTCCTCCTGACACACAGTTCCGAGGGTCACCCTATCTTGCCCTTCTAAGTGGCTTGTGGGAAAAGAGCACATCCCTTTTGCTTCTTGGCTCATTCAACAGTTCCTCTGATCTGAAGCTGGGATGGGGTGCACCATTTCCTGAGTGAGGTGCTAAAATTGGGAAGATATGGTGCTACCCCCTTGCCCTAGCCAGGTGCTCAACACACAAATGAAAGGGGAGACTTTTTGAGGCACTTCATGCTTGACCAACATTCATGTAGGGTAGACCAGGAATCTGATCTAGGTTGTTCTCCTACTGGATGGCTGAGAAACTGAAACTCTTCCCTGGGAATATCATTATGTTGCTGGCCTCTATGATATTTGGCTGATAATGGATGTCCTTGGGCTCCAAGCTGCTTTCTTTTGGGGCATTCATCAGTCTCTGGGATTAAATGAGGTCCTAAGAAGTTGAAAGGGGAACAGTATCTGTATTTATCAACAAGTTATGGATGGATGCTGGATCTAACAACCATAATCTGGTGGCTCAGTGGTTAGAATGCAGTATTGCAGGCTAACTCTACCCATACCCTGAAGTTTGATCCTGGTGGGTTCAAGGTTGGCTCAGCCTTCCATTTTTCCGAGGTCGGTAAAAGGAGGACCCAGATTGTTGGGGGCAATAGGCTGACTCTTATAAACCGTGTAGAGAGACTATAAAACTATGTATAAATTGAAGTGCTATTGCTATAATCAAGCATGAGTCAATATATTTTATTAGTTTTACAATGTTGCTAATTTGATTGGCAGGCAGGGAGTTTACAGAAATTCAGTTACTCCTATTTCCTTCAAGTGAACTCAAGGCACAGCCTTGTAAGCTTTACCTGGAAAATAATTAGTAAAACAATTTAATAGGATTACCCAAACAGAAGATTGGCAAGTCCCTTACAGAATTATGATGATCCAGAATTCCAAATTTCACCAATAGAAGCCCATAAAGGCTGTAAAGCAAAGGGGCCTTTATGGCTTCAATTCCATGTCTTCCTTTGTGATCTTTGAGATCAAACCCCAAAGGCCGGGTGAGGAAAAGGGGCAGATTTGAACTTAATCCAAATAAAATATTGGGCTCCTTTCCCCTTTTCGGTTAGGCCCGCAGAGGTAGTCTACCTACGGCTTCTTTGTGATCAGAAATCCTAATCCCTGGGAGAAATTCTTCAAGTGTCAAGAACCGAAACCATGTTTCATTGTTGTTGTTGTTTTAAATCTAGCCTTCCGTCTTCCTCATCTAGCCTTAAGGCTTCCCAGTATAACACTTCGGAAGTAATAATTTCCCGTGGCCTTCATGGCCACGCACTTCCTCAGGTCTTTGCAGTTTTGCGTTGCGTGGCAGCGCGGGGAGTTTGGAGGTTTGTAAAACAGGCGAGTCCGGGAAGCGTCCGAGCCAGAAGCGATGGAGGCGGTTTGCAGGAGACAATCTTAGAGCGGCCGCGCCCATTCGTGGGAAGGGGGAACCGTGGAGGGCGCCCCGCGGTTAGAAATAATGCCAATCCTTGACCCGAAGGGTTCCCGAGCGCCTGGTTTCGCACAACCGCTAAGCTGAAACTCTTAAAAGACGGGTTTGCGGGTCGTAAGGTTCATCTGGCGTGGCCCCAACGACACAATTCGGAGGGACACCGAAAGGTCGAGTTCACGCCAAATGCCAAGGCGAGGCATGCCCACCGCGAATGGAAGGCTAAGCTCCTTTTCCACTTACCCTAAGCCGCAACTCAGCCTAGCCAAATACTTGGCGTGACCCACCCTGCTGCTCCCAGGGGCTAGGAGAAGAGCGAAGTGTGATCTTAGTTTGGAGTCAAACAGGTTGAACTGCAGCTAGTTGGCGACAGGAGTAGAAACAGCGGCTGCCCCCGCGTTCCCAAGGTCGGCTACGGACTTCCCGTCGTAAAGGTGGGTCGTAGGATTCAATCGCGGCGCCCCCATCGATTTAGTCACTATCTCAACGAATATCATAGACGGCCGTGATCTTGAACTAGCGAAAGCATAAAGACCCCTCTCTGTTTATTGCAAAGGGGTCCTCCGCACCCCACACGAGGAATGTGACGTTAGCTCCTTCTTCCCGCACCTGCTCCAGGTGGAGGTCCTAAACATCGACCCAGCGACCCCCTTTCCTTCGCGCGCTAACCTGCGCCAGGGTTTTTGGGGAAGGCGGATTTCTTTATTTTTTTAATGGGCACCTCTCCCTTCTCCAGATTCTGGGCCAACGTAATTATTGTTATTCTGGCCTGGTTTCAGTCTGGCGTGTGTGCATATGCTTGTGTCTCTTCAAGTAGGCAATTACCGAGTCCAGAAACACTGGTTGGGTGGGGTTGCTTCCCTCGCCTTGCAAAGCGGCTCGCGGTCCTGGAAAGGAAGAGCCGGCACTTAAGAGTGGCGAGCCAAAGGGTTTCTCGCCTCCTCTTCCTCCTCTCCAGACCACCGCGGCGGGGAGGAGGAGAGCAGGAGGTTCCTCCCCTCCCACCAGAGGAAGACGAAGAGATTGAAAGGAGTCAGGGCGGCGACCGGAACCGGTGTTTCCAGCGCCTCCTGCACGGCGTCCGGGACGGCGACTGCGAATGGGAGGGAGAGGGCAAGGCGAAAGCTCTTGGGGAGACCATAACTTTTGTACCCGCGTACTTTTTGTCTTCGCCCCCCAAGACAGCCGATCAAACTGGCAAAACAAATCGCCGCATGTTTAGTAAGGAAGTGAACGCCGTCCTGTCGTTGCAGGCCGCTTACCCCCCCCCCCCCCACTCCCCAGGCGTTGCTTTACGGCCTCGGCGGGTAATTGGTAAGGCAGCCTTCGCCAGATCTGTTGGCGGTGACTCTGGCTTAGCAATGCTGGGAGTTAAAAGCCTGAAACCCTTCGCGTGATTTTCAGGCTGAGGGATTCTGCTTTAAGAAGAAACTTGGCTTAAGTTTGCTTACAAAGCTGTTTGCAAAAAAAAGTCTTACACCCAAAATAGGCGCGTGAATGCGCGGGGAATAGTAGTTGGTTTACAGGTTCTTAAAAGGCATCCTTACAATGGACATAAAGAATGTGTGTGTGTGTGTGTGTGGCTTGGCCCCAGAGACGGAGATCCGGAGTTGAGCCGTAGTAAGCAGCTCATCTTGTCTCCAACAGGCAGGTTAAAACTCTTGCCCGGGAAAAATTGCAGAAGTGGACTGTGAAATGAAGGTTGGCCAGTTTTAGCTGGCTCGGGTTGGGACGAGATCAGACTCCATACCCTCCTCTCCCCGACCTCAAAGACACCGCCGCCTTCCCTAACCAAAGAGAGGGAGACCTTCCCCTTCCCTCCGCCCTTCGGGAGATCGAAACAGGGGAGTTTCTCGGCGAATCTGAATGTGAAGGCGAGCGCTTTCAGGATGACGGGCATGCATCCTGGGAAGGGGATTCGCCGCTTCTCACAACCTTGACTCTACCCGCAAGCCTTTACGTTCCCGCACGCGCGCGCCTCGCGCTGTCCGGTTTACCGGGCGGTGACGAATGCCAGATATCCTAGGATCTTTTCTCCCTGTTGGGGAGCTGGGAGCCGCGCTGCTAAGAGGGAGTCAGCTGTCAAAACCCCTCTCTGCTTAGACCAGTCCTGGCTGGTGGTCCGTTGCCAACGGAAGTTTGACAGCCTTGCAGCGGATGAACTTTCTTAACAGTTATTGGAAATGGGGAACCCTTTGGCAACCTTTCAATAAAATACTAGACGGCCGGTCTCGAAAAACTTAACCGTCTCTCATCTGGTGGACCCTTGGAATAGGAGATACCAGGACACTACCAGGAAATCTCAGAATTATAGCTTAACTTGAGAGGTTCCAAAAAATTGATTCCCAAGAAATTTATTCGTGTATTCATGAAGTCAAGGGAGCAGCTTGGCCCAAACAGTTCTGCTCAGAAAACTTTACCCAGACAATGGTTTGTAGTTCTTAGTATGTGCCTGCCTTCGAAGCCAGCTTGCTCTTACCACCCCTCACCGTTTAACTTTGGGATTAAAGGCATGCCTCTTCCAGCTCCAAATGGCTCCCTTTGGTCTCTTTTACACCAAGTCGAAAGTGGGGGCAAAGACCCTAGAATTCTTTATATCTTGACTTTCCATACAGATTTGCCCTGGATCTAACAAGGAAGGCAAAGATGTATGAGGCAAGACATGAAATATTCCTGTTTGACTAAGAAGGAATGGAAAAGTCAGGAATGGCTGGAGAGACCGAGAAAGGGTTGAACGGAAGCCCATCTTAAAGGGGACTTCTTAGAGGTAACAGGTAAAATCTGTCTGGAGGCAAATTAGACTCCACAAGATTTCATGAGATTTTCTTGGCAACGATAGGGAGGTGATGAACCATTGCCCTTTTAAAAATAATGCC